CTAAGGCGCCAGCCACGTACACCTAAGATGGCAGGTTCGAATCCCCAGCCTGGGCCCGCCAAACAACAATGATGGCTGCAACCAAAAAATAGCCAGGCGTTATGGCGGGCACCTGTGGTCCCAGCTACTGGGGGGGTGGAGGCAGGAGACTCGCTTGAGCCCAGGAGTTGGAGGTTGCTGTGAGCTGTAATGCCACGGCACTCTGCCCAGGGGGACAGCTTGAGGCTCTGTCTAAAAAAAAAAAACAAAACCGTTTTAAAAACAATACCTTCTTCTGGAATTCCTCCTAAAGCACCTGTCTGAGGCTGTTTTGCTGTTAACTTTTTTTTGAGACAGTTTCACTTTCTCACCCTCAGTAGAGTGCTATGGTGTCATACCTCAACGCAATTTCAAACTCTTGGGCTCAAGCAATTCTCTCGTCTCAGCCTCCACGTAGCTGGGACGACAGGCACCCACCACAATGCCCCACTATTTTTCAAGATGGGGGGTCTCATTCTGGCTCAGGCTGGTCTCAAACCTGTGAGCTCAAGCAATCCACCTGCCTTGGCCTCTCAGAGTGCTAGGATTACAAGTGTGAGCCACAGCACCTGGCCCTTGTTAACTTTTTTTTTTAAGTAGAAGGAATACACTCTAAAATAACAATAAAAATATAGTAAATACATAAACCAGCAGCATAGTTGTTTATCCTCAGTATCAGTGCTATCCTCAGCGTATGTGCTATCCTTTTATAAGACTGGCAGCATAGTAGGTTTGTTTATACCAGCATCACCACAAACACATGAGTAATTCATTGCACTATGACTCTACAAGGGCTACAAGGTCACTAGGCAATGGAAATTTTTTCAGTTCCATTATAATCTCATAGTGTCACCCTCATTGACCAAAACATATGAGTGTAATGCTGAGCGGTAGTGGGTGCTAAGAAGGAAAGCAAAACAGGGTGAGGGAATAGAGAGGGATAGAGGGAAGTCAGGGAGCTTTCTCTGAGGGGGCGACTTCTGGATGGAGGTCAGGACAAAGTGAAGGATTGGGTTATAGGGCTGATGGAACAACACTCCAGGCATAGGCACACCAAGAGCCCCAAGAAGTGATGTTCTTGGGAAGTCCAAGGAACCCAAGGAAGCAGTTCATGGAAACACTGGGAACAAATGATGCCTGACCAGAGCAGCACATATTAGATCACATCACTCCTCTGCCCACACCCTCTCTGGGCTGTTCCTCAGACCTGCCTTAAGGCTTTAAGGCAGAGGTCTACCCAGAATCAGCTACAGGGTTTATTAAACCACAGATGGCTGAGCCCCAGAGGCCTACCCAGAATCATCTGCAGGGTTTATTAAACCACAGATGGCTGAGCCCCAGCCCAGTTTCTGATTCAGAAACTGATTCAGATCTGGAATGGAGCCCCAGAAGGGGCATTTCTAATGAGGTCCCTGGTAATGCTGACACCTTGGTACTTGCTGTGGTTTTTGAAGGACTGCTCTAGTATGTGAGAGCTTGGACCTCTGCCTGGACCACTTTTGCCCAAACACTTCTCACCTCTTTCAATGTCTTTGCTCAAACTCCCCAGTGCCAGTGGGCTTACCCTGACCATTCTATGCCATGCTACAACCTTTCCCCTCTTCCCTGAACCCCAGTCTCCTTCCCACTCTCTTTTTTTTCCCTTTTGTCCATTGTTCCTGTCACTTTCTAATATGTGGATCATTATTTTACTTAGTTTGTTTTTTTTTTTTTTTT